CGTAGTTCTCGAAGTTTCTCTTCCAGGAAACCTCCCGTCTTCAATTGGCCACTCTTCAAACTTCTTCGCCGGAAATCCGTCGGCTTCACACACGCAGCTGTTGCCCGCGTCTTCGCTCGATAGCGGTAAACCCACGCTCTTGCCTGAAGCTCGAGCCGTCCCTACGGACCACAAACTTCGCCGACTACACGGCGGACTCTCTACGCACTCTGGCGCTCACTTCCGTCTCCTCCTGTTCTGTCACTACGGGCAGAACTTTCGCCGACTACACGGCGGAATTCCTACGCGCTCCGGCGCTAACTTTCCGTCTCCTCCTGTTCTGTCACTACGGGCAGAACCTTCGCCGACTCCACGGCGGAATTCCTACGCGCTCTGGCGCTAACTTCCGTCTCCTCCTGTTCTGTCACTACAGGCAGAACCTTCGCCGACTACACGGCGGAATTCCTACGCGCTCTGGCGCTAACTTCCATCTTCTCCTGTTTTCTCGTCTCGGCTGCTCGGTTAAATACCTTGCGCGCGACTTTCCAGATGTTTCTCGTCATTTCGTCGGCGCGATACGCAGCGAAGGCTGGGGAGAGGCACGAGACGGTTCGACTGCCCTCTCCGGAGGATGATTCACTCGGTCTGACCCCGCCTCCTTCGTTCTAGAAAAATCGCGGTCTTGCTGGGCCGCCGATGTGGGGTGAGGAGGATCGTCTGCGAAGCCGTGCTTCTGCGGGGAGAGCGCGCGCCCGGGAGCCCTGGATGTTTGCTTTCTTTTTTTTTTCTTTTTACCTCGCGGCGTTTCTGCCGCCCGTTGTCACAAGTATTTGGCGGCGCGCTCTTTTTTAGCGCTCGTTCTGTGACAACAGGTTAGTCCCGGAGACTGGAATGACCTCATTAGTAACGTCCATTACCCGTCGTATGATATGGTTAAGGTCCTATGTAGTGAGGTATCAACTTTTCTGACAATCCAACACGACGAACTGGGCACCAAAGAAGAACTAGGGAACCAGGTGAAAAGACAACGTTGACATGCTTGCTGTCGTAGAGACCCTTCTTGGTTGCTTGTAAAACCAACAGCCTAGAGCGGGAAGTCTGATGTGCGTCGTCGGCACGAGCGATAGCATCACGTGCGTATTCACTCGGTGGATGTGTAGTAGTCGGTAGTAGGGTGTCCAGTGGTAAGGTCGGATTACGGCCACAGAGCATAAAAAAAGGTTAATAACCTGCGCTATCATGACGAGACTAATTATAGGTGAACGTCACATGAGGTAGCGCTAGATACCAGTCATGGTGGTCAGATGAGACATACATCAAGGGCATGTCCATGAGGATGCAATTTAGGCGTTCGGTAAGGGCATTTGTTTGAGCATGGTAGGAAGTAGTCCGTATGTGTTTCGTTGAGGAAGAGTGCAAAAGGTCATCGAGTACGCTTGACGAAAACGCGCGTCCACAATCGGTGAGCAATTGCCGAGGAGTGCCATAGTGCAGAATTACATCGTGGATCGAAAAGTCGGCAACGTCAATTGCAGCGCTGGTGGGGAGCACTCTAGTGATGGCCAACCTGGTCACATGGTTCATAGCAACGGTGACCCACTTGTTCCCAGAGTTTGATTCGGGCAATGGTCCGAGCAGGCCTACACCAGCACGGAAGAAAGGTTTGGTAGGAATGGAGATCGGGTGAAGGAGTCCAGCAGAAGGTGCGGCAGGTCGTTTTTGACGTTGGCATTTACCGCAGGGGGCCACGTAACGTCGAACAGATGCGCGAGACCACGCCAAAAGAAGCGGTGCCGGACGCGGTCGAAGGTGCGAGATACGCCCAAGTTGCCGGCAGTTGGTTCATCGTGAAGCTCTTGCAGGACCGCTGAACGGAGATGGTTAGGCATGACTAGAAGTAGCTCAGGGCCATCTGGCTGGACGCCACGATGGTACACCGTGCCATTTAAGAGAACGACCATGCGTAGTGACACGTCGTTAAGGGCAGATTCCAGACGGGTAATGAGTGACCGCAAGGAAAAATCGCGACGCTGTTCGTCACCAATCAGATGAAACCTAGACATGGAAATGACGCTGGGGCCATGCTGGACGACTGATTCATGTGGTTGGTCAACAGGGTAGCGGGACAAGCTATCGTCGTCCAGATGGAGGCGTCCAGACTTGTAGGCAACTGAGTAGGAGTACTCCTGAAGACGCAATGCCCAACGACTAAGTCGTCAAGATTGGTCCTTCAGTCAAGAAAGCCAACAGAGGGCGTGATGATCTGTGACAACAAGGAACGGGCGGCCATTCAAGTAAGGATGAAAATTCAAAACCGCCCAGACAAGGGCAGGGTGTTTTCGTTCTGTTATAGAGTAGTTATGCTCTGACTTTGAAAGGAGACGACATGTATATGCAATCACACGATCAGTGCCCCGCTGAATTTGGGCCAGAACTGCGCAGATGCCGTGAGCGCTAGCGTGTGTGCGCACTTCTGTAGAAGCATCTGGGTCAAAATGTGGAAGTATCGGTGGTGTCGTTAGAGCGGTGATTAGTCGAGAGAAAGCGTTGGCTTGAAGAGGACCCCAAAAAAACGGGACGTCGTGTTTCAGAAGGTCTGTGAGTGGGCGCGCGAGTGCCACAAAATCTTTCACGAACCGGCGAAAGTAAGAGCTTAGGCCCAAGAAACTGCGAACATCATGGATTGAGTTCGGAACGGGACAGTTCGTTACTGCGCGTACCTTTGCCGGGCTGGTCGAACACCAAAAGCGTTAATAAGGTTGCCCAACACAGTAATTTGACGAAGACCGAAGCGGCACTTCGAGGAATTCAGCTGGAGGCCGGCATGTCGGAATGTTGTTAGACTAGTTGAAAAGTGTTCAAGGTGTTTGGCGAAAGTGGGTGAGAAGATTATCATGTCATCTAAGTAACACATGCACGTCGCCCATTAAAATTGTTGAAGCAGCTTGTCATCATTCCCTCTAAGGTTGCTGGGGCGTTGCACAGACCAAACGGCATGACCATACGTAGCGACATCACAGCTCTTAGCAAGCTAGAAAGTTGTTCATAAACAGCTAAACAAGTTCAAAGAAGCAGACGAGGCAAAGTGATTGCTTCATCAGATTTTGTGGATACAAATATTTGTTGGAGGTTGCGGCAAACTATATTTTTCTTTTTGTAAGCCTAGCTGAATATTTATTACCATTATTACCATGAAGATACGGTACCTAAATGTTTCCATAGTTATCTTCGATTTGAAAGCTATTTAAATAAACCTTTAGTAAAGGGCTACTGCTACAATAAAATCGGTAAAGCTGCACAAAGGTTCTAAATTTGTAAAACCTATAAAGAGCAAACTGGTTCTTTAACGAGTATATCAACACAAATCACTCTCGTCTATTATCGTGAAGCGTGTTCAACGCAAAGCTTTCTTGTTATAAGAAGTTGATTGAAAATGAAAACGCATTTATAGTGCCCTGCCAATGTCTTGGTTTCCATTTTGATAGCATAACTTAGTTTGCTGAAGAAGGGTACGCATAGCAAAAGTAAGAATGTTTAGCCAAATCTGATGAAAAATCCGTAAACAGTATCAAGCCGATGTTTCGACAAGCGAACTTGTCTTCATCACGTCTAGAATAGAACTGATTTAGTTAGTGCTAGCGTGTCTACGCTTCCTACTCTTTCTTCCATCCTAAAGAAGGATTGAGAGGGGCAACAATAAACACGCGGGTGTGAGAAAGCGCGCGAGGGAGGGGTGCTGCGAAGAGTTGTATGAGTGAAGAAGGAACAGGTTTTTGGTAATGCAAGACAAAAGTAATTAATACGAAGTATAAAATATACAGACCCGAATAAAGAGAAAATAATAAAGTGATGGTAAGTTGAGCAAGTACGCGCGTTGCCTATTACCTGTTTTCCAACCGTTTGTCGGAAGGTAATCAATGATAGGTTTGTAACATCTAGACGGAGGCCTTAACTTGCAATGGTTTTTTTCTGTATGTACCATACGGAATGAATTCAAAAGTGCTTTCAGAAACGCTTATATCTACTGGCTGGAGTGTGTGAAGCTTGTCAATAAGGTATGACTCTGTACATTTTCTCTATCCAGCGGACCGCAGGTTTCACCGCAGTATGTAGAGTTCGAGATCGTCGAAATTGTGTCCTGCTATATCAAAATGTTGTGCCACTGCTTTCAGCAATTACTTTCTCGTGGTCACACGATGGCTGTTTAATCTAGCTATAACAGGTTGTCCTTTTTTTGCAATTTATAGTTTTATGACAATATGAACGTACCATCATGCAGATAATATTTCCACTAGTGCAGAATAAACAACATTTTGTATGATTGACATAATGACCCCCAGTGCTTTCAACTATCATGCCATCTTGAAGGTGTTTGCAAGCCTTGCATCTAGGACAGAAGCTAGTTGTTAACTGGGCAGTAGAATGAGAGTTGCCTTTTGCGTGCAATGCCCTCAAAATTCTTATTGCGGTGATACACGACCTTTTGTACTTCGGGAAACGCTTCGTGAGACACGCAAGCGCTAAAAAAACCAGTTCTCTTCTAGCCCTGAGAAAGACAAGCACGCTTGTCGAAATGTCGGCTTGACACAACCACTGTTTACAGATTTTTCGTCGCAAGCTTCCGCCTTCCTCTTCCTACCGTTTTTTGGAATAGCCCAATCTGGCCTACAAAAATGCCTCACAATTCTTCAGTGTCTCCTGTAGTCTTTAACGTGCTGCACACACACAGGTTCATTTGACCTGCCTGACCAGCGTGCGTTTCTAGAAACGGGTATATTGTGCATAAAATATTTAATGTTTTTTTTGTACTAAGAACTCAGGAACAAGCCGCACTCGATTATCGCAACCTGCTGGCGTTTCACTCAAAGAAAAGAAATCAATATTGTAAGGGCAACAATAAAGCATGCGAGCTATGAAACACTCGTGTAGTCTCTAGTGGCTACACCTCAATAATACCAGCTTGTGTTTATCAGAAAGAAAGGTTAACTTGATGGAGAAATACTCGTGCCGATGCTTTGCAGGATCCGACAGAGTTCTATTCTGAACGCTTCTTCTTCGATGCTCCGATTGTGGCAGAAATGGTTGAGGAAGCAGAGCGAGAGGCCTCAGCTGTTGCAGGGCTAAACCTCGTGTCCTGCTCTGTTTACGACAGTCAGTGGATAATGCCAAACGTGGACGCCTGGATTGGTGAGTGATTCGTCGCAGTATTGAAGGCAGTGTATGTTCGTTTTCACATCAAATGGTTTTATAGTATCGACACGCACCTACACAATGTGATACGTGTTTAATCGTGTAAAAGCGTGCAGACACGGACAAAGCAGAGAACCCGACAACAAAAACGTCATACCATGAAAGAAACAAACACATTTAAGCTCCACTACTGCAAGAGGAGATGTGTCGTACGGGTTATCTAGTGATTTTTTCTTGTGGAGTTCGCACTGCCCCGTTAACGAAAGCGTCAATCACGCCTATATTTGAAACGGGCGTATTTTGTAGGGAGTTCCGGCAGGTTGTTACCCTCATCGATTGCAGTCACGTCATAACGCAGCACACCGCAGACGCAGGGAAAGAGGAGTTCACTCACTCGGCGAGGTAGTGGCGCCCTTTAGTGAGCTTTCCCGAAGGCAGCGCCAAAAGTAACTTAATAATTTTGAGCTCACTGGTGGGACTACTTCCAGGTTATATTTGGTTATTAAATAATTTTAGACGTTTTTCGTTCACTTTACCATGGATTCAAGCGTTTCTACCCTCGTGATAGCCGACATTGAGAACTTCTTTGTGAGCGTGATTACGCGACATGAGATGGATAGATGACAAGCCTGGCCCATATAGTGATCCATCTTTAATACTTTGGTATAGAGTGGCCACTACAGTCTCTGTGTGGGCGAGCCATCAACGGTCTGAAGAGAACTGAGGTCGAATAACTATGCATGTACACCTAATAGTCAGTGATGATGGCGCTGGGCCGGTGACCTTTGGCAGCGCGTTCAAATGCATCTAAGGCAGTCACATTTGTGGAGATGAAATAGCAGTAGCCTGTCTGTCTACGTCAGTGTACGTTAAACAACACCAGATATTCAAACTTTCTGGAACCCTCTACTACGGCATTTATCTCAACTGTATCGCAATTATTTCATTTTTACTATCCACTAGTTAGTAAGTATCGAACAGCTGGGACAAGAGGACAACTGCAACGGATCTTTGGCGTCATTTTTAATCACCAAATTTATTCACTTTGTCACGTGATTCATTCACGTACAGGTGTACTGAGAGACCGGGGAACGTCTGCAGACCGAGGAACGTCAGCAGGCTGAAATGCAAGCAAGCGCAAGTTACAGCCTTGGTTTATATCACCAAGGCTCTAACTTGCCTTGATGGCTGCTTCGTCATCGTCTCGAATTGTTCCCTACATTGGCCCTCGGTGAAGAACATAGCCAACCTTGCGACTTAAGGCGTTGTCACTATAGCGGGGTCATAATAAGGCTTCAGGCGACTAACATGTACAACTTTTCTACGACGACGACGTAGGTCATCAGACGGTGTAAAAGGCTCAATCTCTTAGTTGACTGGTGACGCACGAGCGAGAATGCGGTAGGGCCCGTAGTAGCAGGCCAGTAATTTTGACAAAAAGCCAGGAGTACTCGGTGGAATTCAAAGCCAAACCAGGGCAACAGTCATGAAAAAAGTGAGAGGCCGGTCGGCGTCGTGCCGTAGCTTCTGGCCTTGGTCCTCGGTTATCAGTGTACGAGACAATTGTCTGCCATCTTCGGCGTACCTGGTTACATCAGAAATTGTTGTCAACTCAGATGAGTCAGGCGTGTAGGGGAGGATAGCGTCCAGCGTGCACGATGGTTTACGTCCGCACAAGAGAAAGAAAATGGGAAACCCCATGGTCGCGTGCGTAGTGGTGTTATACGCATACGTGACGAATTTAAGGACAGTGTCCCAATGGGTCTGGTCCGAAGCGGCGTACATTGTCGACATATCACCGAAAGTGCGATTAAATTATTCTGTGAGGCTATTCGTCTGCGGGTGATATGCGGTTGTCATGCGATGAAAGATGTTGCACTGAACTAGCAAGGCTTGAATGGCGTGAGACAAGAAAACACAGCCCCATGCGCTCAAAATATAACGGGGAGCACTATGGTGAAGAACAAAGTTGCGCTAGATGAAAAGCGCGAATTTGGTGGCTGCGGATGGCGCTGCCGCCTGCACGTAACGCCTCAGATGGTCCACGCCAACAATTATCTATGAACCGATTTCCAGAAGACGATGAGAGAAGTAGTCAGTATAAGTAAGTACCGACGTGGTTAAATGAACGCGCTGGGCTAGCCTAGGAGACTGAAGTGTAATGGCCGGGCGTTGAGGTGGAACTTTATGTCGCTGGAATGCAGTACAAGCACGTACGTCCTTGCAAACAAATGTGTACATGCCGCGCCAGTAATACCGCCGTACTATACCACTGAAATGTAAAACTGTAAAGAGTGACGTCTGCTAAATCAAATATGTACTCTCCGGGTAGACATGTCTTATAAGAATAAAAATTGGGAGATCGGCTGCACATTGAAGTTACTGTGTCGCGAGCTAAACAGTGTCACTGATGATCCAAATACACGGGATAGAATGGCTTAAAGCTCCTTAACGGCAACTTTGCAGACCTCTACGTGCCCGTTTTCAAGCTGGACGCCAAGATTCCGGAAGAAAAGCGTGGAGCCTTTCGCAAGTATTGCAGAGACCTGCTCGAAAAGAAGACTACATCAAGAACCGAGGGGGTCACCATGAGACACAGTTTTGTTGTCGTGCACTTGGAGAAACTTTCGGAGAATCCGCCGAAGGCCAACCCTATTTCCACTTAAAACGTGGCGTTTGACTATATTATTGAGCAGTCCATGATGGCAAAAGTATAAATAAGTAAGCAAAGGTCAACGCACCTCTACAGCCGGAAACCGTGCTGCGAGTGTGCGTTAAAGCATCTTGATATACATATATATATATGCTTTCCATCTCTGACAATTTATCTTGAAAAAACGCTTCTCTGGACTCAAGCGGGCTCGTGTATTGCCCTAGTGTTACGTATTGTATGTTTATCGTTTTCTCTCACGATTTACTGTGCCGAAGCTTGTCAAGCTGCCCATGAGAAATCTTGTAGCATCTTGCATCTGTAACTTCTTACAAAAATAAAAAAGGTGATTATTTTCTGGTCTTGTGCTGTTTCCGCATTTATTTTTTCAGTCCTTACAATAACAAATAGAAGATAAATAATCACTTGCTCAAAAGCTCGAAGCTGAGAAGCAGGTTGCTACAGTTGCGACCATAAAAAACTTGAGTATCCCAGATGCCAAGGTGAAAAAGTTTGACGACCTGCAGAAAGCAGTTTTGTGCAGCCAAGTAACAATAAAGCACAATGTGAGTGAAGTCTGCGCTATGGTGGCCGACGGCGCTGAAAATAGGATCTGGCTTAATATTCTCGTTTTCTGTGGCTTTGAAGACTAGGGTGCATATGAAGAGACAGCTGATTCAGAAAGCGAAGTCATGAAAGTATGTCGCTAAATTTTGAGCAGAGAGAGCGTAGCATTGACTAGGCACGTTCAATTGAATAAGAAAAAAAAAGCATAGTCGATGCCACTCCACCATTTTGGGTGCACGTTAAGAAACCCCAGGTGGTAGAAATTTCCGGAGCCCTCCACTACGGCGTCTCTCACAATCATATGGTGGCTTCGGCACGTTAAGCTCCACAAATCAATCAGTCACTCCACCATTAGAATCAGTGAAACACGAAAGTAAAACGGGCCTTCACAGCAGTATTATAATGTTCATTGTACGGCAGTAATTAAGAGCATCCAGAATATCTACAGGTGCAATTTACCTGGATGGACGTTGACGCGTGATGACCTATCTTCATCTTAGTGGCTAATAATCATGATTTAAAGGTTGTGGTAGCTTAAATTGCCACCCTAAATCCGGGAATGGCATATAATGAACACAATGCAAGGATTATGTGTACAAGCGCAGAATATGGAACAGTTTATTATGTGGTCTTCGAGAGTGTTTAAATTAGAGGGAATTAGAAAACTAAGCTCTCCAGTAATTGGGTAACTCATAGACGGCAAATGCGTACAGTACCACACAGCGCTTCACAAACGCTAGAAGTGGCGCCCGAGACTTGAGCTGTGAACTCGCGAAGGCGTTCCGCTTACTGCTCGTTTCACCACCATCCCACCGAAGCACTTACTCTGGCTGCGTATTAATTTCAGTCAGTGCAGTACACAGTCTAGGCTAAGAGCTTAGAAGACAAAATCGAGCCCGTGCCGTTGAAGTAATCTAACGCGTTCAGATGGCGTCTACACGAAGTAACGCCGTTTCGCGTCGACAAGAGAAAAGAAAAACGTGACTGTTACTTATCTGGCCTTTTACATATTGAAATTCGTAAAAACTTGACAATAGCTCGCATTGAACTTCTCTAAAAGCGTTTGCTTGCGTGCAGATGATCACACAAGTGACATTTTGAGCTGTCAAAGCACTGTGTGGCTAGGCTGTTGAGACAGGAAAAGTACCCTGCACCGTTTCTGTTCGCGATGGCTTCTTCTGGAAGTTGTCAATTTTGCCGGTGAAGTGTGAATTTGAGTATGACTTGAGAGGTCGCCTGCCCACGTAGCTGTCTATTTCGGCATGCACACTGAGCATTTTAACCCAACCACTCGTGTCATTCGCCCGTAAACTCCTGTCAGCCTTCCGCTGCACTGAAAGTTATCGGTAACTTTTTTTTCGAGCCAGTTTTTTTCTTACGGCGCAGCAACCAGTTTGCACTTAGTTGAGGTAACGGAACAAGAAACAATTAGGAGGTGCAACTGCGCCCCTTGAGGCGACCAGATGACGTCACGCTGCCAGAGAGCTATTTCATCCTGGCGGCATCTGGCAGCAGACAATGATTGCCATCGGTTCGGTTTCCAAAGGATCCCGTCGCATACGCTCTGCCACAAAACGCTTACTTAAGCCACGTGGAAATGAAAAAGAATGCTGTTGACTCTCAAAAGTTTATATGTGTAACTTACGACAACATCCTAAAGCATCTTACAGCAGGAAGTGGACAGCAGGAAGTAGTGAGTGAGATTTGACGATAGTTTGTAATCAGCTTAGTGTCCCCTTTCTTGTGTACGGGCACCACACGTGCCATTTCCCAGTCAAGAGGTAGCTCTGAAGATGACAACGATGTACGAAATATGTATGCAGGAATGGGGGAGGGCTTTATCATAGTGACGAAAGAAGACATTCGAAAGACTATCAGGACCAGGTGATGCATTTGTCTTTAGTATACTCATAGTCCGGGCAAAATACAAGGTCAAGTCCGAATGTCTTTAATAAAAAAGAGAACACACTACAAAAGTAAATATTAAAATGTGCCCCAATGGCATCCTCATCGTCAATTCGAACACCATCAATTCGAAGCTCTCTAACAGATTTTTTTTCAATTCCAGAAGTCTCCGAACTTCTGACGGGATTTATTTAGAAAATTCGGTAAGCTATGCTGGAAGGAATGCTATTTAGAACAATTTATTCTTTCGATAGCGGCAATTTTAGCAGCATCAACTACGCTTCTAGAGGCTCTTCTTTTTTTCAAGGCCATTAAGCTTTCTCTTTAGATGCAAGATCTGTCTCGTAATTCAGGGATTCAATTTATTAGTTTTCTATCTTTATTTGGTATGAAATTATTGAGACAATAGGTGCAGATCTGTTTCACTTGAATCCAGAGATTATTAAAATCCCAACCAAAAAAATTGCTAAACATTAGTGCAAGATGATCCAAAACGCTGCCATCTCTGGCATGAGAAAAGTCTGTTCCAAAAAAAATAGCAGGTTCAATGGAGGGTTTTTCAGTGCTAAACGATAGCAACACGAAAAAATGGCGGAAATACCAGGATTCACTGAGAATGTAAGTTCTTCGATTCATTAAGAAACAAAAACAAGATTTATGGCCGAAGAGGATGCATGATAAACTCGCGTACACTTTGTTGCTACTTGTTGCAAATGCAGATTTAGTAAAATAACGAACAAAGAGCCGACATTCGCACATCTATCAGTAATTAAAAAGAGGCGGGGCCGGTCAACAAAGGGTAAGTTGAAGTCACCTGAAATTACTACTTCATTCCATGAAAACGATTGTAAGTGTTCCCATAAATCATGCAGAAACAAGCTGGTGCATCGGGAGGTCGGTAAACTGCGCACAACAAGAAAGTGCGTCCAGGGCAAAGTAACACTTTCATGGTTATCTATTTGACATACCGGCGATGATCGATTTCATATTTTATTATAACAGACACACCACAACCTTTGGTAGGGCGGTCACGGAAATGTACGTGATGTGAGGGCGAAAAATAATCTGCATCAGTGGTGTCGTCCTGAACAGGTTTCCGTGATGACGATAATATCAAAATCAAAACATAACACCATATCTTCTAGTTCCGTCAATTTGTTGGCGCTGCTGCGCGCATTTATGGTAATGAGCCTCAGCTGCCTTGCAAAGGTCTGGATCGGTCTATCATTTTTAAAATTAGGAGTAAAGACAAGAATCTTTACTTTTTTTAACAATTTCACCGCAGATGAAAAACAGCCCGTCGACACACAGTTTGTCATTAATAAGGAAAACACTTTTTTCCTGATGTTTTTCATTCTTGGCACTTGCCCATAATCGCTTTTGTTTCTGCGGAGTTTTGTGAGAGTAATAATTTTGAATAGATATTTTTGTACCCTTACGATTGTGTGCAATCCTGAGCACCATTTATTCCTCATTATAACCTTAAAATGAACAATAATTGGTCTAGGATTGCCAGTTCTGTCTAAGCGGTGAATTCTAGCAACTGATAGGCAAGATTAACTGAAAAAATATTGTCCAGAACTTTTTGCTTTAGGTCCATGTCTTTTTCGGTCGATTCTTCCTGCATTTCGAAAATAACTAAGTTCGACCAGATAGTGCGGTCGTCTAGGTCAGTTAATTTCGATTTCAAATCGTTTATTGCTTACTTGAGTAAGTCAACATGGGCTGTCTCTTTTTATATTTCGAGAAAGCGTGTTGCAAGGTCAGGCATCGATTTTTCCTAACCTTTTTTGCTGATTTATAGGAACAGACATTTTGTCAGGTAGTTTAGTTGGACGTGCCAGGTGCTCCTTCAGCACTTCTGTGCTTGTAGGGCCGGAATTAGTCTCAACATCGCCACAGAAAAGAAGCTTACACGCAGTGAATGCATGATTGGCAAGCGTGATACACTAATGTGGTCACGGCAGGACCAGAAGGCCTTGATAGTCACCACAAGTACTGCTGTAGACAGCACTGACCAGCATGAAGCAAAAAGGGGGGTTTCGTGACCAGATGCCGCTGCCTGGTCTACCACACCCACTGAAGCTGGAGCTCTGCAAAGGACCCTTTATAGGTAGTTCCGATGACGTAGTCACATTAGATGGCACCAACGTCCGTTTTTCCACGAAAAAAAAAGGAAAGGAACCAGGAGCCACTTGATATACGGTAGGTACGCGTGTCGGAAGGCGCGGTTATAGAGAAGCAAGATTTCGGTTCAAGCGTTCCAGCTAAAGCAAACAGCTGAGCCTGCATAAAGCAAACAAGGGGTTTTCGTAACTACACTTCGCTGCCTGGTCCCCTGCACTCACTCGACTATTTTATGGTAGCGTGGGCAAGCATAGATTGTTCGCTGCATCAAACTTTAATAGCATTAGGTTTTATCAAAAGTGGCCAGATGCAGAGAGCAGTATGTGGTAAATATGGACAAGGTTTGATTGATTTATATGTGGAGTTCAACGTGCCAAAACAACCATATGATTATCAGAACGCCGTAGCGCAGTGCTCCGGAAATTTTGACAAACTGGTGTTCTTTAACGTGCACCCAAATCTGAGCACACCGGCCTACAACATTTCCGCCTTCATCGGAAACGCAGCCGCCGCAGCCGGGATGTGATCTCGCGACCTGCGGGTCAGTAGCCGAGTACCTTCGCCACTAGACCACCGTGGCGGGGCAATGTGGACAAGGTTTACGTTAGTGCTTGAAAAACACTGCAGCAAAAATCAAAATTATGATTTTTTGGTACTCACTGCGAATTCCACCGCCAAAATGCGGAAGCGATTTTCAACGCGTTTGTGCGCACCGGCGAAATGTAGCAGACGAAACTGGGGATGTCCCACCCTGTCGATTCTA